AATTTAAAATCTCAGACGAGTCTACATTACGTAAAAATTATGTTGAAAAATGCTTTTTAAATATAATACGAAATATTAGACACTATGTAGGCGATAAAAAAATTGGGTTAGTGTAGATGAAACGACAGATGTTGAAGACTGTTCTGTAGTAAATATCGTTATTGGTACCCTGGAAGCAGAACATTCAAAAAAAATATTTTTGTTATATTCTGATGTCTTGGACAAAACAAATCATTCAACCATTGCAAAAGCGTTCGATAAAGCCATGTTTACATTATGGCTTGAAGGAATAAAACACAATAATGTCTTTATTTTTGTATCTGATGCTGCCCCATTTAAGGTGAACGCAGGAGGAGCCATTTCCACTCAGTTTTCAAAAATGGTGCATGTTACCTGTGTAGCGCATGCAATTCATAGAGTTGCGGTAGAAATAAGATCAAATTTTCAAGTTGTCAATTAACTTATAAGTTGCGTAAAAATAATATTTTTAAAATTCTTAGTAGGTAATAAGCATTTTTAGTACACCGCAGTTGATTAAATTCATTTTCGCCAAAAAAAATACATTTGAAAAGTCGTTGTGTGTATAAAATATAATAATATAATTTAAAAGTGTCAAGTACCCACGAGTAAAAAAATACTGTGCTCATATATTTTTAAACTTTTTGGTTACAGAATAACTTCCTTGCGTGGAACATTGTTTTAAATTTTCATCTATAAAATTATTTGTAAGTTTTGAATGAAATGAATTTTGTCAAAATTTGAACTTTAAATGTTTATAAAAAAACTATACCTATGTATTTTTAATATTTTTCAATTGATATTATAAATACATTACGGGAGCCTTGAATTAAATTTTCAAGCTTTTTGACCCAACAAATAAAATTGTATCGACAGTTATAGAAAAAAAAACTAAGAAAATTGAAAATTGAAAATGTCCGTAAACAGCTCAAAAAGCCAAAACGAGTGAAAATATTTTGAAAATTGTATCAAGTAAATGAATTGATAATATGAACATATAGTGTAAATTTCAAGTATCTACAAATATTCATTTTTGAATTACAGCAAAATAAGAAAATTGCTATATGAGAAATGGAATGAATATCCAATGATATAAAAATGTCAACTTCACAAGCTCATAACAATTTAATTTGACTTTCCGGTAGAATTATTTTTTATTTAAGTAAAAAAACTTATAAGGTATCTTGTATTAAATTTTTAAATCTTAGATATAAAAAGAAACATTTTTATGAATATCTAACTCAAAATAATTTGCAAATTTTCGTGATTTTTACAAATTTGTCAAAATTCTAAATTCAAACGCTCATAAAAAATTATTGAGGATTCATGCTCAATTTTTTTTTAATTTTCACTAACAACAACTCATGAGGAACATTGCACTACATTTTCAAGTTTTTCGACCTAGCAAAAAATGTTTTATCGACATTAGTTTAAAAAAAAAACAAATAATAATCGAAAAAGTTATACGCCTATAAATAGTTGAAACGATTCAAAATATTTTGTATTACAACACCACTGTTCATTGAGTCATAGGAGATAGTTTTATAATTAAGTATTATATTATAATGTACACTGATACGTCATTATAATTTTAAGGTGCATAATAATAGTAAGCTGCACGTATGACTATATTTAAAAACAGTGATAACACTGATAACAAATCGTTGTGCTTAATGCTAATCCTCTTTAAAATAATAAACTATTGTAGAACTTTGACCGAATTTTTGTTTGAAAAAAATCGATGAGATCCGCCATATTATAATGCGTTCTTGCCATATAATGCGCATAATGAAAAACGTGACACGCGACTATGACGTTCATCGTTAAAAAAAACGGAGAATAGGATTATACCTTTGTGCCGTCCCTTATGACCGCCCATTGTCAGCGTCGAGCGGCGGTCCGAAGTTTTAATCGGCTCGTGTCTGCGTAATAATATTTGGAGTTTTCTTTTGATACGAGACTTCCTCAAGAATGGCGTTCGTTTCGAGTTTTATTTGCTTCTGAGCGATTATACTTTGAGTTTAAAATGTATAGGTACCCACTAATATATAATATACGCGAAATGGGATTTGGCCAAAAAGTTAAACTATAATCCGAACTCATAGCTTGTTCTTATATAAAGTCCTTCTTACTCCTTAGTACTTTTGCTTACTATAGGCCCTCAGACTATGTCTTCTCGACGATCTATATTGTGTATATAAGTGTATTATCACTATTATCTACCTGTGAGTTGTGACTCGTTTACGGTACTTGGGTTTTCGTTTGCATTCTATAAATATTATATATCTACGAACAACTGTTTCCCCTAACGTATATTTTCTTTCTATTTTCCACAAAATGAAATAATTTGTATACACATTTAGAATTAATATTCAAATTTAGTATTATTATTGATTATACTATATTGTATAATCGATGTTATTATTAATAATTAATTACAAACATACTACATGCCAATATAATACATATAACTATATAAGTATATAACTATTATTTTTTTATATACATATAACGATATAACTATTTTTTTCGGGATATTTTCTGATCCCGATCGATCTTACCCTAATTAAATGATGATGATGTAATTTAAAAAAAATGTTTTCCATTATTAATACAATAATACTGTATTACTGTATAATATATTTTTATAATAGTATGATAAAGTGAAGTATTTATTACCTAACGGTACCTGTACTAATACAGTTACACGTAGTCAAAAAATGTTGCCTACATAAAACTCCTTAAAGTAGAAGCAATTTACATGAGACTTTATTCTAAATAATATGAATGCTCAATTTATTATAGTGTAAACAAAATTAAATACCAAACACACATCAGTCTCTTACAAAATAAATAATAATTGTAAGAATATAATATTCATATATATTAATTTAATTCATTGATTTGAAATCGTCGTCAGTTGATATCCTTACTTAAGAGTTAAGGGGGTAATTTTTTGAATATTTGGTAGCTTAGTAAACACAAATCATTTTTGATTAATGCGAATTCAATAAGTTTCCACTCTGAATTACTTTTCAGATAATTGATTTTTAATAGCTTATAACATAGATATCAATATTATGAGTACTATTATATACCTCCCGTCTAAACAATCAAACTGATCGAAGAAAAACAATACATTGTACAATTTCCAATATGAGTTTTAGAAAACTCATACTTTTTAAATACAAGTTCACTCATATTATTTATTAGTTATACATTTTAAGACATTTTAAATTCAGATAATTGGCTCAGATATTTTATAGTGAAGGTTTTTTAGTTTGATTGTGTTAAAGTATTTAGATAAATTTCACGAAACTTGACTAATATAGATTAAATTAATAAATTTGTAAATGTTTCATACTATGTTTAATTGTTTATTATCCTACTTTTAAATTGCAAAAAATAATAATATATCGTGATAATTGATAAGTGCAGATGACCTTATATTACTATTTTTATCAAAGAGATTTTTAGTTTTTTAATTTTTTTTTTATGGCTTAACCTATAGCTACATTTAATTTTATAATTGGAAGCAGAATACCTACCAATTTAATAATGTCGATGTTTAAAGTATACTCAAGGTATGAACAAAAAAATGGTATTTAAAATATTTTGAATTGTGCAGAGGAACGAAGTAGTGTAGTGAGTGAATCAGACATCAGCATACTTACGGGTTATTAACCTCGTACCTTTACTATTTTACTTAACTCTAAAATGTAGAGAAAATATATATTGATTTAATGATTTCGATAACATGAATTATACGGCTATTCACAAATTATGAATTCAATTTGAAAATGTGTACATTTTTATTGGTAAGAGATATTTTAAAAACCAATATAGCACATATTGTTCAGAATACCCTTACAATTAATGTTCTGTCCTATACAAAATTAACCATTTAATAACTTTGCTAGGCTTTGTATTCCTAAGCACCACATGGACAATATCGAAATAGCATCCGAATCCCTGCCTACCACTCTACCTACTACCCTCTCAATATCACATATAGTGTGAAAAACTACTTCAGTTGTCAAATGTAGAGTCACCCTGGTGGAATGAAAACAAATAGGTAAATAGATAAGTGATGACAGGCACAACTTTTAAATTCAATTTGAACTTATCAGTCTGTTTTGAAGCCGTCTTTTAGCATTTTTATAAATGTCCAAGACAAGCCAGGAAAAACTTCTGCACTTCTTCGATCTGAAAATGTGAACGACCAACATAGGTTTCATTCTTTGAGATTGTATGGCTGTATACTAATTATATATTAAATAAGGTGTCATTAAATATATTTTTTTAAATAGCCTAAAAAATCACCATGATAAGAAAATGTAGTAAAAATTAGTCAAATTGCATGCAAACGTACCGGTATAACCATTTCAAACCATATAGATTTTTTAAAATACAAATCTCAATAATTCACTAATGGAATAATTCACTAATGAAATAATTCACTTATGGAATAATTCACTAATGAAATAATTCACTAATGAAATAATTACTAATTACTAATAATTAGTAAACCGATTGCCTATAGTATACATTCACTCAAGTAGTAATATTTTTATTAAATATTTACCAATCTAACGCAGCTCTCACATGATCCCTCTGTATATGAATATGATATAATTATTATTATGACACTGGTCACTGGTGACGATAAGAAAAATTATGAATAACAACACCACACATAATGATGATGTATTATTATTTATTATTATATTACAATAAAATATAATATACGATATATAATATACGGCGTATATACCATTATAATATTATATAGGTACCTGCAGTAATGTGGCAATTGCAAGCTGCAATTCACTGCACGCGTGGTAGGACGTTACGGCAAGGAGAGTGGGATCTGTCGGATCGAGAAGGACGTTCGGCTGGCCGCCGTCGCGGCGCACCGGTGGAAGAAAACAACGCAAAAATAATAATAGTAAATACATACCTAAAGTGTTTTTAATTATTTTTCGCCGGGCACATGGCACGCGGTTTTCGCGGGCATCAGACGGACGTCGGGTTGGCGCTGCTATAGCACGATCACGCGCGCGCCGTTCGGTTTACAATCGGTTTTTTTGTGTTTTTGTTATTATTAATTTCTTACCGTCCGCCTGGTAATCGTAATCGTTGTCTCGTTTTCCATATACATCAACGCTTAGAATACCGTTTACGTGCGTCTCGAACGATATTCTAAATCGTGATTCAAATTCGTAGTAGGTAAGTTATCCTGCCGTGTATATTGTACATATATATGTATAATATAAAAGGATAGTCGGGCGTTTTCGAAATTCGTTTCCGACGTACCACGTGTCGAATTCATTGCTCCTGTGTCAAGTGATATACCTAAACTATATTATATTGTTGTGTATCGTTGTTTTTGATCATTCGCCTGACTTTGCCAACAATGACCGAAAAGCCTAGAGTCGTGTCCGCATGTATGAAGCGAATCATCCGGACCAACGGACGAGCGCAACAAAGACCTTTGATATCAGGTAGGTACCTACCGAAACTAACATTTAGTACCTAAGTATATGAAGTAAAATATATGATTATACGATCGTGTAATGTCGATAGAATGTTTAAATAATATTTAATATCTGTTATTATTCCACGAAAGAACTTCTATTACTTTATTTTTAATAGTGTTTTAATCAATACATAATATAAAATTATAAACGAACGTTCAAAATGTAATAACCATATAATAAAAACCGTTTAGGACTGTTGGATAGGGTTATTCAATATTATAAATAATAATCATAATAACATCACTGTACATTCGCATATAATATTTTGTTTAATATATAGTTAACTTGACGTCGTGTTTCTTGCATGCGTGCTTGCTCTCGACGTTAACGAGTTTAATAATAATATAATGATTTAAACAGATTGACTGTTATGATATTGTGATAACTTTAAGGTAAATTAAAACAACTTGTTTATGTTATGTAGGTGGGTATATACATATATAAGCATAGTCAAATCTACATATTATATTACTATAGAAATTTAATGAAATTGAAATACTGTAAAGAGAGTGTGTATTTGTTCAATAATGTGGCATTTCCTGCAGTATCCTCATGTTTACATTTCACAAAATATACGGGTATAGAGAATATAATTCAATTTGTACTAAAAAAATTTCTAGAGCTCGAAAGTACCATAGAATAGTAGCCTGCAGTAGGTAATTAGAGCATATACCTGCATTTAAAATATATAATAATATGTATACTATTAAATTACGTTTTTTTTAAATAATGAGAAGAAATGGTACTATTAGAAACACGTAATTGAGTTAATACATTTTTAATGTTTGAGATCCTATTTATTTACACTTTTCGTACGTATAGTACATTTAAAAAATAAAAGCGATTAAACCATTAGTGGCAATGTGTATTATAATATACGTAGATATATAATTTTTTTTCAAAAACATGGTATATACTTTATACACTAAAAACTTATTACTTATAGGTAATAATTAAATAGTAAATATCCAATATGTAGGTTGAATATAATGTTTAATATTAAAGTTTTTATAACAAGATAAATCGTATGTTAAAGATTTAAAATTTTCCGATTTACCTTAAACAATTATAATTTACTTGAATAAAATATGAAAAAGAATATTTAATAAACATATATATATACCAAATAAATAAATAAATATATTGTTATATTAATTAAAGTCAGTTTTTGGGACGTTTTTTGCTGCCCAAAAATTGTATTTAACAGTTTAAATCTTCCAAAAAATGTCATATAATATCAATATTTATACTTACTGTATTTAGTTCGCTTAAATAGAATAACATTTTATGAGTATTGTGATAGGTCAAAATTACATTTCCAAGAACTTTTGATGTTGTTAAAATCATATTTTACTCAAACATTTGAACTTTTTAAAGTGTAATTTAAATTTAATACCTTCATAAAAACAATTTTAAATACATTTCAATTGTTTTACACTAACTAAAAATTAAGAGCACTATGAAATAAAAACAAACCATCAAACAGAATTAATTTAACTGTAGTATCATACATTTATTCAAATGTGAATATTAAATAACGAGGAGTGGAAAATATTTACTTTAGAAAATTTGCCTATCCCGGCACTATCTGTCTAATGCATAATCCACATTCTACAGAGTATAAAATCCTGTTATTAATTTATAATTAAATTTATACATAGCTAATGGGTAAATATATACGCGTTATTTCAATAGTCTACTGCCCACAATATTACAATAACGTATACTTTCAATTACCATAATCGGCAATCGAAAAAAATGTTGACGAATAATAATAAGCAGTACAAATATTATTCGTTTAAATATATTTAACTTAAATTTAAACTTTAACTTAGACTTCTTAGTCTTTAACTTAAATATATTTAATTATTTATAGATTCTATAGTATAAAAGGCCTACACAAAATTTAGATTCTATAAAAATGTTAATATTTCAACGCATCTCTACCCGCTACAGAGTACAGTTGTAGGTTTACGTAATTTGTGTTGTCGTTTTTGTTGTTGTTGAACTTAAATGATTTCATATAAAATAATGTGAATTACGTTTCGAGTTTATTCTCGGTTTGTGTGAAAATATGTCCTTTGAGTTGAAGTGTGAATGCAACAGGTACGCATATTCGTATACCTCTACCTATACTCGAGTATAATAGAAAATTCTGTATACAATATTATGTAGGTACGCATAATATTATATATCACTAACCTTGTCCTTCGATATGACGATATCAAGTTCTATTGTAGATCTTACTTTTTATGTATAATATTATTATAATACTACACAGAAGTTGACAATATGTCATACTCCTGCAGGTGGAAGATATTTCCTAAACTTCATATTAAATATATATTTCGTATTATCGCCTGCCACTTGCAACTTATAAGTATTACTAGTTGCAATACTCATATACGTATAAATACATATCACGTGCCCGCGTATAATATTTTATTAATTTAAAATGATATCCGAGATTTGAACCTGCACAGCACGTTATGCTAATATAATACAATGTTACTATAAAAACTTACAATTGTTATTCTTTTTAATCCGCATCTATAAAGTAAAACAGTATACAAATGCGTAATAGACATATACGCAAAAATAATTAGTACACCGCAATATATGGCCATAAACGCGTGTATTACGAGTATTTCCCACGAATAATGATATTTTAGAACTATTATTATACACTTAAATACTTAATCATACGTACCTCTCTGTTGTCGAGTAAAATTGTAAAAAATATACATAATTGGGCATAAAAAAAATATTACGTTACTCCGGTTGAAAGGCCGATGACATCTTTCCAAAAGTCATCGGCATTATAGAGTTGGAAAGGGAAATTTAAGATTGATATCAGGTATTATAATTTATAGATGCCCGCAATTTGGATAAATTATTGCCTGCATCAAAGTGCGTAATAACAATGTAATTTTTCATAATAATTAACTCTATTGTTTTTAAATAGGATTTTATTTGTATTTAATTCATGCGGTGCAGGATATTGTGTAAAACAATAAAATAATTATATACGGTACCTACTAAAAAGTATTAAAAACATTGTAAAATAAGAAAATTAAATTGTTAAGACGTAAAAAATTATTAAAAACATAAAAAATTTCTGCATCAGCCGGGAATCGAACCCGGGCCGCCCGCGTGGCAGGCGAGCATTCTACCACTGAACCACTGATGCTCATACACTTAGCTGTCAAAATGTTTATATTTCAATTCTAGATGCAAAAAAATTAATGTACATTTATGCATGGTATAATAGAGTGCACTATTATATTTTTTTTGTACTTGAATATTATTTTTAACTGTCCAAATTTTACATACATTGGTATTTATATTATATTTATTTGTTTCTAACATTCTAACATTTCTAACTATAAACAGTCTCTTTCGATATCTTTTTTTACTACTATTTAATTATGAATCTTGACGAAACACAAACACTTCAATCTCATTACACCTAAATGGATATATTATTATCAATCGATCTATCTCTTTTTATACAACGTTGAATTGACCTGACCTGTGCTGGAAATTATATTATGTTATACACAATATGTATTGTCTATTGTCTATTTGTCTACCTATAGTGACTTTTACGGCTGATGAAAATAGTTTAAAAATTCTTAAAACCACATGTATGTAAAAAAAACGAGCCAAAAATGTTTTTAAAAATGTATCAGCAACTAATTTACTTTGAAAATGAATCTGCGACATACCTAGGTAGGTACTCACATTTTATACCTGTACAGTATCTGTAGTGGAATAATAATTCATAATATAGGTACATAATTGTTATTGTTCAGATTGGTAATTTAATGTATTGATACCTAGGTATACAACTACACTACACATTATACAAGTTTATATAATATGAAAGTTTCAACCAGTGCCGTACGAGTGGTTAATATTTCACAAAAAACTTTAAATTATAAACAAAATAAGAATGCTTTTAGTGCTCTAGTGTGCCTACTATCAATACCTTTTTAGCTACATTGAATGCTTACTAAGTCTCCACTTACCTAGTCATAACTATATATACTGAAAATTTGTATTTGAATTTCCCATAAATTCATTAAGTCGGTCGGCGGCGGTCGCCGCAAAAGTCTAAAAATAAAATGTAATAATATGTATAATGGATATGTATACCTGCTATACCAAATTACCAACGTTCAGCGGCATCAACATACCAAACTTATGAGGAATGCTATAAATGATCCTAACATTAAGATTCCCATCTTCTGCCATTTAGAAATAATGTCATTGCCTATTTAATATTATGATTAAAATGTGTATCCAAAAGACGTGGCTCATTATTCGGATCACCGTGGTTACTGGTGTGTCACTGTTAATATATTAATGTAAGTACCTAGTATGATGCGTATATTTAACTACAGTTTTAAACAGAAATTATAAATTTCAATATAAATAGTATTTATATTTTAAATACGCCCTACAATGGCTCCTACCATGGCTCATACAATCGTATGTATGTTATGATATACGACTATACGAGTATATTATTTAGATTAATACCTAAGCCGTGATTAAAATATTACAATATGATGAGTAGGACACTAGGACGTAAATAACTAAATTGTGTATCACTTACCTACCAACCTGCAATTACATTTCTAATTCAGTACACAAAATAAATTGCAATGTAACTATTATTCTTATTATGACTTCGAGATCACTAAAATCGAGTTTGAAAACCGTGTAAGGTGTCAAGGATTGAGAACGTCACGAATGTCAAAGCGTTAATTATTATAATTTCCATAATATTATATGAAAATAAAATTGTGTGTTGTACCTTTAAACATAGGGACTACCTAGGGAGTGCTTATAAATCGTAAATTATGGCCCAAATAATGAGTATTATATTTTATATAGGTGTGCAACTGTGTAAGGTACTAGGTAACTACTAGCTGAGTTACCATATTATGTTCCTTATA